GAGGAAGTCCTACCTTATATCGAGTACGTATGAGTTTAATTTTTCATATGTAGCCATTTTAAATATTATTACTCCTTATGTTTATCTTATATACAAGGGATCGTAATACGTGATTTTTTCGTGTCAATTGTAGGGAACATATGATCCACATCAAGACCACTTATCCAAAATTTAGAAAGAGAACAAAGTGGCTACAAGATAAGCACAATAGCACTTTCATTCAATGGCTACGCTTTAAGGTTTTTCTCGAGTATTGAATGACATATTGAACTTATTATAATTTTCTTTCTTTCTATATATATGTTAGATTGAATTAAGATATATGTTTAATTTGCAGGTTCAAATTGAACTTAATGGGGAAGACAATAATGGCGTATCAGAAAATTTGAGATGGTTAGCAGCTGAGCCAAGCATAGCAGTGCCATCATATAAGAGCTATCTTATTAATGGTGTCAAATTTAACACCAAGGCACAAGATGATGCGCGAACTTTCCAAAATAGTGGAGTTTATTTACTTGCACATACTATGCAAGATGCTAGTGCCAAGGATAAAAACCCTATTGTCTCCAATATGGGTTTTTATGGGGTTATTCAAGAAATTTGGGATCTTGACTACCAAAAGTTTAGAATCCCAGTCTTGAGGTGTGATTGGATAGATAACACTTCGGGCCTTGTAGTCGACGAACTTGGATTTACCCTTGTAGATCTGAGTAAAATTTTGGACATAGGAATGACCAATTTGTTATGGCTTCTCAAGTTAAACAAGTATTTTATGTTGACGACCCAATGCATCGTGGTTGGTCGGTAGTGTTATCAATGCCTAATAGAGAATATAATGATGTTATTGGTGATGATGTGCTAGGTGATATTAGAATTGAGTGTGAGCCATTTACTAGAGGGATACCAAATGTTGACACATTTGATGACCTAGTGGGTGAGTTTGGGAGTGAGAATATTAGAGATGGGTGTGAAGATATATGGATTGATTGATTGTTGTAATGTATGACATTAGTTATGCAGTTAATTGTATGACATTAATTAATAGCTCTGTATATCATTTTAATTCCGATCACATATTCATTCTGCAGGCTTTGGGCACGACAAATCAAAAATTAAAAATAATGGGTTAAAGCTGAAAATACGACGGTCAAGTTACAAAAATCGCAAAAAGAGACGTCTATATAACAACCAACGTGGAATTACAACGCAAAAGTGAAATAAAAACTGCCATTTGAAAAAGAAAACACGTCGGTTAATTAAAATTAATTTCAAACCGGTTAATAAATATTTAAAACAACGACGGTAAATAAAATATTCAACGACGAACAATAAAGAATAACACGACGGCAGAGCACAAACCGACGAAACTACGGATATAATCAATTGATGATTAACGTCGTAAAAACATTTTTGCACGTCAGTTATAATTAAACAATTGACGTCTCGGAGAATACACACGTCAAAAAAGGTTATAAAAGAGACTTAACAAAGGCTAGTCACGTCATGGAACAAACAATTAACCGACGTAGTAAGTCGTATAACAACGTCGAATAATTGGACCCTTGGGACATAGTAAAGTCATACCACGACAGTTATTTTACAATAACCGACGTTAAATCCGTAATTCAAGGCGTTTCCTTACTTCTTAACGACGGTTAGGCTAAAACCAATGACGTCTCAGAGATTACACACGTCTAAGTGGCTCACAAAAGAGACTTTTAAAAATGCCAACAACGTCAAAGGTGAACAAAACCGACGTTGTAAATGAATTAAACATGACAGGTAATTTAATTAAACGACGTATAATATTAAATCCACGTCGTTTATTTTTCTGTTCAAGCCGTCAAAAAGATTTTCAACGTTTGTAGTGACCTAAAGGGTCGTGGTTGTTTCCTTTTTTACATTAGTCCAAGTAAAAATATGCCATGTTTAATTTTTAAGACGTCGCTTTTTTGGACAAAAGGGACGTCTTATTTACCATGTTATACGTTTAAGACGTCAGTTTTTTTATTTAGTGAACGTAGTATTTATTAACCACGACGGTTTCTACGTTTTACACGTCGGTAGTTTTTTAATTAATGACGTTGATAAGAATATTTACGTCGGTTTTCTAGTTGTTTCTGACATTTAACATCATTGAAACGTCTGTGTTTTACTAAAAGCGTTGTCTAATGTAGTCGATAGTTGTCTTTTTATGCTTTTATGGATGAATTAGACAGCGGTTTTATTTTCTTTAAGGACGTTTAATTGATTAACCACGTCGGTTATTTGACAGGTATTTTAATTAATCGACGTATAATATTAAATCCACGTCGTTTATTTTTCTGTTCAAGCCGTCAAAAAGATTTTCAACGTTTGTAGTGACCTAAAGGGTCGTGGTTGTTTCCTTTTTTACGTTAGTCCAAGTTAAAATATGCCATGTTTAATCTTTAAGACGTCGCTTGTTTGGACAAAAGTGACGTCTTATTTACCATGTTATATGTTTTAGACGTCAGTTTTTTTATTTAGTGAACGTAGTATTTATTAACCACGACGGTTTCTAAGTTTTACACGTCGGTCTTGTTTTAATTAAAGACGTTGATAAGAATATTTACGTCGGTTTTCTAGTTGTTTTTGACATTTAACATCATTTAAACGTCTGTGTTTTACTAAAATTGTCGTCTGATGTAGTCGGATGTTGTCTTTTTATGCTTTTATGTATAAAGTAGACGTCGGTTTTAGTTTTTTTAAGGACGTGTAATTTATTAACTACGTCGGTTATTCCCCGTTGTTATTTTATGTGCTAAAAGACGGCGGTCGATTTCACGTCGGTTTTAGAACATGATACACGACGGTGGATACCCGTCGTCTATTTCGTTTTCTGTAATAGTGCGGACCCTACATATCAAAATGCACTAAATCAAAAGGCTTTGTAGCTTTACTGTCACTTAAAGGAAACACAACGCGATGGCTCTTGGCCAAAATACATGTCTCACACTTCAAAATTGGACTCATCACAAAAGCAGAATAAAGATGGAAATAGACACTTAAGGTAGCCAAACGATGGGTGTCCCAAGTGATGATGCCAAAACCAAATTTATTGTTTGTCTTTGACACTACAACTTTGAACATTATTAACAACACAATCATAAACTGATGCATCATGTAATGTCAAATAATTTTTTCTTATTATTTACCTTCTTGAATATTCATTTAAATATGATAAAATTCGCGTATCGATTTCAAACATATAAGTGTGCAGCATGAATTAGGTGTGATTTCACTCGTCTTCTATGATTGAGGTGTTGGCGTGGCTCATAGATATCTGTGCAATCTTATCTGCATAGTGTCTTTTTCTAAGGTGCTCTTTTCTTATCTCTCCCGCTGTAGTTTTCCATATACAGGACAAAGTAGTGCATTGCAGCTAATAATAAATTATATATATACTAAAACTGAATCCGAGTTACTGTTTTTAAACTGTAGCTTAGGAATAGTGAAATGACAGTTTTGCCCCCGCTTAAGTGATGATTTGCTTTCTTGAGCTGACTTCTGAGCAGTGAATTAGCCATTATGCCCTCCAGCTCTGTTTTCTTCTATCAGAGAGATCAGAAAAATCTAACCAGTTTTGACTTTGGTCAAAATTTCCGAGGAGCGTGATCACCAATTTCCATGTTGGAAGACGAATTTTAAATTAGTATTGGCATGGCTATTATAAAACAAAATGCTTTAATTATTAATATTAGCTTTTCCTTTTGTCTTCTTCGATATCTTTTTTGCTATAAAACGGGCTGCCAGCTATTGCTATAAACTGAACTATCATTTTTGCCCTTTTACCAGGCCGAGAACATTAATGAGAGAAATGAAAAACCTCATTTGGTTAAAACGGAAGTCACTCAAAATTTGGTCCTCACACAAATTTTCAAGCAATGCACACAGCAGCACAGGGCCTCCTTTCTCATCCATATGCGCTCTCTTTAAAATAAATAAAATAAAAAATCCGAAAATGCAAGATAAATTCTTCAAACCATTTTTTTCCAAAAAAAAGAAGAAGAGATATTTAGTCAGATACCCATTCTTAGCACTAAAACTATAAATAAACTCTACACCATTTAATTTATATAAACAAACCCAAAAAAAACCCAAAAAATGACAATTGGCCCTATTAAATTTAATTTTGGTTATCAAATTACTTTGATGCCCTATTAAGTGTTTTGAGATTTTTTATATGTTTTGGGGTTGGGTTTGTTTTAAGAAAACAATGGCAATTTTGTAATTTAAAAGAAGTTAAAAGCCTCTTTGTTAAATTGTTATGTTGTAAATGAGATTTGGGTGTGTTTCTAAAGTCCATTTCATATAGGATATTTTTATAATTTGAGCTCCTATATTGGGTATAATAGTGAATCTCCAAAAACAAACAGCTACTTATATTAAAGTTACTTATTTCTCCTCATTGCTCTCATTAATTTTATTGGCCTGATAAAAGGGCAAAAATGGTAGCACCAGCTGGCATTTAAGTTGCTTCATAGACTTCCAACGGTAAGAAATATTAGTCTATAAATTTCCTGTCTCTTCGTATCACCTATCTAATATTTTAACATCCGTCCATAAACATAACGGAAGCCAAACTCTGTTACTCATATAGAAAACAATAATAAAGTATATAATGGAAGAGTCACTCAAAATTTGGCCCTCGCACATGGCTTCTATATTGCAATTTGCATTTAACAATTGGAACTGTGCTGCAGGACGGTGCATAGTAAGTAGTGCAGTCATTGTTTAATCCATTTTTGTGTCTGAATCAAAATGGATTAAGAATTCTTATTTATTAGAGAGAGAGAGATTAGGTGGTGGTGGAATGCTTAATTAATTGAAATGATGATTGATGCCAGAGAGGAAAGCAAAACATTAAGCAGGGGCTAGAGAAGAAAATTTCATTGCTTCAAGATACAGAAGAGAAAAAAGCTGCGGAGGTAACTAGTTGTTCACTGTTGGCGAAGACCAGAAATATGGCTGAGGCTGTTGTTTCAATTGTCACTGAAGGCCTAAAGCCACTTGGAGATTTCATCCTTCAGGAAGCCAACTTTTTAAGTGGAGTCGGAGAGCAAGTTGAGCTTGCACAAACCGAGCTACGACTGATGCTGGGCTACCTGAAAGATGCAGATGCCAAACAAGGGGAAGACGAAGTGGTACGCGTTTGGGTTGCAACTGTTAGAGATGCTGCTTATGATTTGGAGGATGTGATTGAGACTTTTGTCTTGAAAGTGGCTTCCAAGAGGAAAGGAAGCATGACAATAGTCCTGAAAAGGTTTGCTTGTATCTTGAGAGAAGGATCTTATCTTCATAAGACTGGGTCTGAAATCGAGAAGATTACAACCAAACTTTCTAAGTTGAGGTCCAGAATGGAATGTTATGATATCAAGGCAATCGGGTCAGGGAGTGAAGGTAGTTCTTCATCTGTTGATAGGCAACATGATCAGAGGCTAACCTATGCTCATTTCAGTGAACGCCATGTTGTTGGGATAGAGGGCGATGTAGAGATATTGGCTACACATTTGATGAAGGAAGAAGAAGAGCAATTTCACCGAGTAGTTTCCATTTGGGGGATGGGCGGTTCAGGAAAGACGACCCTTGCAAGACAAGTTTACCATCACAATAAAGTTAGGCGTCATTTTGATTCTTTTGCTTGGGTGTGTGTATCTCAACAATATGAAGGAAGAGGTGTTTTGGAAGAAGTTTTAATTAAGCTAACTGCTGCTACCAAAGAGCAAAGAGAAGAAATTGAAAGAAAGAAGAGGGATGAAATAGCAGAACTCCTCTATAATCTCCTCGAAAATATGTCTTGTTTGGTGGTCCTTGACGATGTTTGGAACACTGGTACCTGGAACTCTATAAAAGCTGGATTTCCAGTAAACAAGAGAACAAGGAGCTGCATATTGCTCACGACACGCAACAAAGAAGTAGCTTTGCATGTAGATGAAAATGGTTTTCTTCATGAATCTCGGCCACTAAATGCTAATGAAAGCTGGAAATTGTTCGAGAATATAGCTATCTTTGGAAGGGATGATACAGGTATTTTCTCAACCAGCTCTTTCATGGAAACTACCGCATTCATGTAGACCAAATTATTTTCCTTTTCTTTTGAACGAAGAAAATTCATTCAATGGAAATCAGATCTTTTCAAACCGTTGTACTTCAGCAGACACCCATTGAAAATAATTCTTGGCCAAGACATTATTAATGGACTATAAAGAAAAATAATTCTAGGAGTAGGTTGCATAATATCCTTCTATCAAGATATTGCTTCAGTACAGGTTCTTTTCATTTCATATTGTGACAGATTGTTGCAATTCTTTGTTTGTTCTGTATCTTCTTTGATGAATTTTTCCCACGATGAAACACTATCTCAAACATGGATTGGTTGTGGGTCGCAGGTTGGTGGGTCCGAATTTTAATTAAAATGATTTTTTTTTTTCATTTGATATTATTTTATTTTATAATTTTTAATTATTTTTAACATATAAGATGACCAATTTGCCCTCGTATTTAACAACAATTTAAATGAAATGTTGATGACTTAGACGGCAGCAGAAACATTGATAATAAAAATTAATTCAAGTCCTTAGTTTTCTTTAAAAAAATTCACGGATAAATTGATAGTTATGTACAAGTTCAGGGGCAATTCGGCATATTACCCTTAATGTTTTTAAAACTCATTTTGCTTTTTAACTTCCAAGCAATGAATTATTATAATGTGCTTGGAATTGATTTTGTTTTTAACTTCCAAGCAGTGAGGTTAAGAAACTTCATAAACTTTTAAGTTCTAGTATATATGAAAATAATTCAAGCAAGGGACATTGGTGATATAGAAAGCCATATTGAACAAAATAGGTTAATTTTGCTTTCTATTGTATTTATTCTTTTCAGTGGTTGAAATTTATGCTAAGAAGGAAGAACTAGGAAAGAAGATGCTTCAACATTGTGGAGGTTTGCCATTAGCTGTTATTGTGCTTGCAGAACTTCTAGCTAGAAAAAGAACAGTTGATGAGTGGTATAAAGTGTATAAGAATGTTGATGTATATATAAGGAGAGGCACAGAACTTGAACCAGAATACAAAAATCAAGGCTATAAAGGTGCGTCATGGGTGCTAGCATTGAGTTATGATCACCTACCATATCGCCTAAAGTTATGCTTTCTATATTTAGGCCATTTTCCCGAGGATTATGAGATACCTGTGAAAAGATTAACTCAATTATGGATGGCAGAAGGTCTTATATCTTCAACGTCAATAGACATGATTGAAGATGTATCATACGGTTGCTTAATTGAGTTGGTAGAAAGGTGTATGGTTCAAGTTGGAAAATATGGTTCAAGTAAGAAGATCAAAACATGTCGTCTCCATGATCTTATGCGAGACTTATGCTTGTCAAAGGGAAAAGAGGAGAACTTTTTTGATATTGTCAATTTTGCTTCCACGGCAAGCAAGGCAGCACCTATCGGTAAAGTTCGAAGACGTGCCATCTATTTGGACGAAAAAGTTGATTATTTAGCCCCCACAAGACATGAAAGAGATGGCCAACTCAGGTCTCTGTTATACTTTGGCAGCCTCATATGGAAAAAAAAAATGATAGACAAAATGTTCAATGACTTCAAATTGCTTAGAGTTTTGAAGTTTGAAGAGATGCGTTTTGAAGTAAAGTTGCCCAGTAATATTGGGGATCTTGTCCACTTAAGGTTTTTAAGTCTGAAGAATAGTGAAATGAATCAATTGCCATCATCTGTAGCTAGTTTGGTGTGTTTGCAAACTCTAGATGTACGTTGTAAAGATAAGGTGTTGGTGAAAATACCTAATGTGTTTTCAAAGATGGAACAATTGAGACATTTATACATGCCCTATAAACACAGCGTAAGTGAGAAGCTGTCATTGGCTAGTCTTAGCAGTTTGCAGACGTTAGTTCATATTTCGAACCAAGACTCTGATTTCAAAGAACTTGTTCAATTAAACAATCTTAGAAAGCTGTCGGTAAACTTTGAAATTTTGGAGGAAATCTCGAAAGCGGCATTCTTCACAATGAACCGTGTTCAGTCTCTCTGTGTGGTGTCTACTTCAATGGATATATTAAAAAGTATAGTATATAGATGTCGTTATGTATCCAAGCTGAAAGTAATGGGGCCAATTGGAAATTTACCTGAAGATCTCCCAACCTATCCAAACCTCACCAAGTTAACGTTGTGTGGTACCTGTCTCGAGGACACCCAGATAAAAATACTAGAGAAGCTGCCAAAATTACAAACCCTTTTCCTTGGAGTTGGAGCTTTTGGGGCTGGTTCTAGAGATTTGGTTTTCTCGAGTGAGGGCTTTCCTTCTCTTGAAGTTCTTTACCTTAATGGTTTGTCCGAATTATCCTATTGGTGGGTGTCCGAAGGAGCCATGCCTAGCCTGTGCAGATTGTACATTGAAAATTGGATTACGTTGGTAGAAGTTCCTAGGCTGCAATATGTTTCTACCCTTAAGGAAATAACCATAAAGTTGATGCCTGATACATTCTGTAGTAACCTTCAGGAAGGAGGAAAGGATTTCTACAAGATCCAACACGTCCCTTCTGTTTTGTTTGAGAGTATTGTTGCTGAGCAGTGGGACGAAGCTGTAAAGGTAATGTGTTCATATATACCTTCTCTTTTCTGTTGTTTCATGTGAACAAAGAACTAATTACTTTCTTCCTTTTTTTCATTGAAGAAACGTATGCAGCTTGCCCAGGAGAGAAGGAAGCAGCTTAACCAGGAGAAGTTTCGTGTTTCTGTATGTCTTCAGACCTTTCCTTTTCATTTTCTTTTATTTTTTTTATAAAAAAAAAGGGAATAAGCACTAATTGTTTTTTTTTTTTTTCAAACTGTTTTCCTTTAGATGTATGTACAGAAGGCTGCCCTACAATTCATTGATGCTGGCGTGGATAACTGAAAACTGTGTCGATAATGAGGTCAATGTACGCTCTCTTCCTGTCCCAATGTTAGCTGTTTTTGTTTCTTTTCGGTGCCTGCAAATATGATTTCTTATTCTATATTTCAAGTTTGGGTAAATTACTCAAATGGTCCTCAAATTTGTACGCGATTTACATTTTGGGGCCTGAATTAAATTTTTCGTTCAAATGATCCATCAACTCTATATTAATTACTCAAATGGTCCCACCGTTACATTCTGTCAATATTTCCGTTAAATATGAGGGCAAATTGGTCATTATCCCTCATATTTAACGGAAATATTGACAGAATGTAACGGTGGGACCATTTGAGTAATTAATATAGAGTTGATGGACCATTTGAACGAAAAATTTAATTCAGGCCCCAAAATGTAAATCGCATACAAGTTTGGGGACCATTTGAGTAATTAACCCTTTCAAGTTTATTCTATATTTCAACGTTTACCCCCTAGACTCGAACGTCGATCTCCATTTATCTCCTGAAACTCAAATTTTCTCACTTAATCCACTAGAACTTTGTTCCGTGTCGCACTTTGCCTCATTTTGTCAACTCTGTTAACTAATCTGTTAATATATTATTATTTATGCAAATTACGTTGTTATAATATAAAAGTGAAACACATGTCCAGATCTGAGGAATCTCTTTCCTCTTTTTTTTCTTCAAATTTTATTATCTATTGGGTAGTTTTGGAAAATTTTGAAAGGTGAAGTTGAGAGAGCTTGGGTTCTGTCAGGGAACAGTGAAGGTACGGTTTTGGGGAGAAAAATCGCACCATGTATTGATTTCTTCTCCAGATCTAAGGAATCTCTCCTGCCTTTCCATTATCACAAAGTATTATCCCTTTTCACCTTCATTTATTAAGCAAAAAAAAAAACTTGAGAGAAATCAATATATGATGTGTGGGTGTTGAAGGAGTGACTGAAGAGGACCAAAAATAGAAGAAGAACAGAGGTTTTTTTTGGGGACTGCAAGAGGAATGAGGGAGAGAGAGAGAATTACATGGGTAAAAATACTTTGTAAAATTTTAAATTGAAAAACAAATTGATTATGCGGGCTGAGTGATTGAAGAGAAAAAGAGGAATGAATGCAGGGGCGTGGGCATGTGGGTGATGATGATGGTGAAGAGTGACTGAAGAGAGAGAGGGCTGGATTATTCCCTTTATTATATTTTCGGTTCAGATTATATTATGTAGTATACCTAGTTTGCTACTCGCATAAATATTTCCGTATTATTCAGATCAGTGACACAGAAGCATTTACATTTTCGTAACAATCTCTTCTTATGCAGGTGTATATTGAGAATCGACCAACTAAACACTATGTGAGTAATGTTTGTTGGATCCCCATTATCTATGCTGGTTTGAATCAAAATCGCATCTACAATAGTGAGATTTGGGGTGGCTGCGTGTCAACTATCTCAACTGGCACTGGCACTTCCCCAATAGTTGAAGCAATACTCACATTAGAAGATGCCTGAGTTGGTCTTTTATTTTGGCATGCACAATAACATGGTGTGAACCAATACTACTACTATAAATATCACAGCATGCTGTATTCTATTTCTCGTGTTTGTAATTTGCAGCTTCACCTTCTTGATGTATTAATGCTATTTGAGGTTTAAACTCCTGTTTGGGCCTAATTCTGCACGCAAGACCCTGCCCGGTATCTGGGCTCTCATCAAATTGAAAAATAGGCTTTATTTACCACAAATAGTGAACGACCCATACTGTTCAGCATTTGGGTTCTTATTAATTTGGCTAAAAACACAAGGTAGAAGTCATGTTTTTATAGCTTGGTCATCATTCTGTGTTTGTGGTGTGGTAGAAGATTGATTGCTGCACCAACCTTGGCCACTGGTACTCCTTGAAAAAACGGGTAAACACCTGCTTATATATATATATATATATATCTATATTTTTGGGTCAAACACTAAATAAGGTTTACTTCCATAAGAACAAAAAAAATTGGTTATGTGTCAATAGCATCTTGTCCAGTAAAAAATGACATTCACATGCAGATGTGTTCTTAGAAACCCCCTCCTCTACAATTGCAACTACAAAAAGTAAAACCCACAAGAGACTACAAATACACAATAAACTCAAATAAAAAATTGCAACACACAACAATAAATAAAAGACGATCTATCATCACGTCGTCACCAAGACAACCACGCATCCACCAAAATCTTCCCAGACAGAGGGGCTAGAATGGACGGCTGAGGTGCAGAGGTAGAGAGAGGAGGCTAGGGGAAGGTCTTGGATGGTAAGTAAGGGAGGGAAGAAGGGAGGAGGAGAAGGATGGAGGCCACCGATCTCTTTGTGGGTCGGCGACTGAAACTTCTCTCTTAGGGTAAAAAAGGGAGAAATCACACAATTTCATGACATGGTGGCATAGTTCTGGAGAAGTAACACTAGCTATCAGATGCTATTGGATGTATTACAAGTATTAGAATTGTCTGTTTAGTAAATTCAGTATTAGTATTACAAGTATTAGGGTCGGGGTGTTACAAAATTAACTAAACTAAAATAGTAAATTATGTTAAGCCATAGAGAATGAATGGCCTAAAATCTCAAACTCATTCAAAACCATTAACTTTTTCTGGTTATATAACAATTCATTATAAACCATTAGTTTTTTGTTTAATGATTTAAATAATTTAATAATATAATATAATATAATTAATTTTGTTGGTAGATCCTCTTGGATCACTTGAGAAAGTTATTCATACAATTTACTAAGACAACTCCAATGAGAGGACATGGAAGTTGGTTTTCTGGAGGACATATAGTACCAAAGAATACAAATGTATATGGACTAGCACAATGCTGGAGTATAATCCCGAGTGAAATTTGTAGAAGTCGTATCAGTGATGCTTGTCAAGAGCTTCCAAAGCGTTGCCCTCAAAAGAGAGGAGCTATAATTTGGTATGAAAATTGCCTCTTAAAATACTCAAATTCATCATTCTTAGGTAAATTGACAGGTATAACGGGCTTTTTGGGGGGAATTATCATTATCATTATCATGATACTCCCCTCTCTTTTGGTAATTCCATTGTCGAGTACTTATCCCAATTATGTATGGAAGCTTCTAATAATCGATGGTTTTATGTAGGGGTGGCATTTTATACCGAAAAACCGAAAAACCGCAAAAACCAACTGATAATTTACCGCAATGAAACTGCAATCGCGGTAAACCGAACCGCATTTGCGGTATTTAGAACCGAACCGCATTTGCGGTTGTGGTTGCGGTAATTGATTTTCAAAACTTGCGGTTACTGCAAACCGCAAATATATTTTAAATAATATTGTCTATATTATATTATATGTAAAATATATTTCATACAACATATTTCATACAATATTTTCTATTCACACCCATTATTTATGCTCATGTTATTTATGCTTCTTCTTATAATAAAATGTACTAAATTTATGTTATTTTATTTGTAGATAGCATTGGTGCTCAAACAACACAACGGGGTTCTTCAAATTCACTCACCACCACCAACACTTGAGTTTGTATGTGAGATCCCACATCGACCAACGGAGAGTGGGTGATGTGCCTTATATGTACACACCCGCATCCATATAGCACGAGGCCTTTTGGGAGCTCACTGGCTTCGGAGTTGTAGGAACTCCGAAGTTAAGCGAGTTGGGGGCGAGAGCAATCCCAGGATGGGTGACCCACTGGGAAGTTGGTAGTGAGCTCCCAGAAACAAAACCGTGAGGGCCAGAGAGGGGGGCCCAAAGCGGACAATATCGTGCTACG